ACAACGTGTTTCGGATAAAAAAAATGAATTTTTCAAATAGTTTTAAATATTTCAATCTAAAATTTTTTGTTGTTGTTTGGGACACAAAAAGGAGAACTTTCAGAGAGTTTGGTTAAAAAATATTCATTTTTGAGAAATTGACAAGTAAAAAACAAAAAAAATTTTTTTTTGATTTTTTGCATTTTTTTCTGAAATCTTGAGGTTATATTTAAAAATGACCCACACAAAAGTTGTGGATTTTTCCAAGATCTACAACTTTCGTATTTAACATTTTTTAGTAGGACATTAAATTTCGCGTGAAATTGCAAAAAACACGAGATGTATCCATTTTCACCCCTTTTCAACCCCTCAAATCGTCTCCTAACCTTCTTGGGCACATAACACATTTTCCTTATGTTGACTTTAACCCTTTTAAGCATTTGAAAATGTATGTATCTGGATAACATTTTTTTTTTATCTCTGTAAATGAGTCAATGTGCCTGAACTAAATAGGAACAATTATTCTTATCAGTCCAGCCATCAATGGCAAACGAAAATTTTGATTCATTTTTTGATAAAATAGTCTTTAACTTATTTTGCATGGTGGAAAATTCGTTGAGCACTATCTCGGTCATGCTATTTCTTTTAGGCATTTTGACCGATCCATTGAGAAAATTAAAAAATTTTTGCATCAGGTCAATTTTTGAATCCATGCTTTGTTTTTTTAAATCCTATTTATTGCAAAACCAATCACCAAAATAATAATAAAACTCACTAAGAAACATAATTAATCAATTGACAAGCAATGTTGCCAATTTAACACAACTAACGGATGATTCAGTTTCGAAAGAAAATTAAATGAGAAATAAAAGGTTAAAATACGATACGTTTTATTATTTCAAATAGCATTTGTAAAATTCTTGTTATTAGTTGGATTTAAGGAAAGTAATCACGTTTGAGAAGTCGTCCAAAGTCGTCTGTTTTGCATCAAAATTCATTTTTTTGGACTTATTGCCAAACATAATGTTACATTCCTTCAAATGATCTTTTCAAAGATGAAACTGTAGTCCACTGGTATTACCATTTTTCATCTTGATTTTTATACAATCGTTATTTTGGCACAAAATACATGCACCTTTTTTCTCGTTATCTTCACTTTTCTCATAACGAAAATATGATTTATAATTTGGCTTCTCTTCTTCACTTGATCTTTACTTTTTCCGACTCTGATCAGCCATATTGTGATTGCAAATTAAACCTTTTAGATCAACAATCGAAGCGCGACTAATAGTGAAACGATAAGACCTTAAATTTATACATGTGTGTGTGCGCGCACGCGTGTGTGATTTTTTCAATAGTAATTTGGCCAATAACCAAGACAAGACCAATACAAGACAAGAGTAAATTTACCAAGCCCAGAGATAATATTGCCCATTTTCGAGAGTTTTCAAGTTCAATACAAGAGTGATGCTAATCTTGGTCTTGTGAAGCTCTAGTCCCGCTCAAGCAGCTGCCGCCACAACTTGTCTGTAGGAAATCACGTCTCCAGCGATCCATCTGCATCTCTCGGGCAGGAAGGCTCATCACATCCAGGTTAACTGGGAGCATCTTTTCCTCACCTCTGACTCATCAGCAACACTCACTACCAACCGGCCCGGGCTACGCCATCATACACATACGCACACATCCGTTCACCTTCCTTAGTAGAACGACTTCCTCAAGAATAAGTAAAAAAATACATAATTATTATTCATTATATTTTTTACTTTTTTCTACGAGGAGTATTCCTCCGTTCTTTTTCTTCCCTTCTCTCTTTGTGAAGTTTGTTCTGGCGCTACTACCACGACGAATTCCAGTAGTAATATTAGGAGTAATCGTGTTCTGGCGA